TAATGTTTTAATATAAAGAGGCAGCTTGAATCTGGAATTAAAATGTACATCCCAATGCTTCATTTAAACTCTAGATATTGAACTACATACAAGCAGAGCACAGAGCCTGCAGAGTAAGCATAGATAACACAGCCTGCTCTAGGAAACACAAGAAATTCAGGGCCAAATAAAAGATAATTTGTGCATTTTAATGCATTTCACCAAGGCAATACATAAGTTCTCTTAGGACATACAAACAGGAGGAAGGATGAAAATAAGTTATCCCTGAAAACCAACCCTTCAGTCTGTAAAAATAGGGAAAAATGGTAAGTCTTGCCCAACACCCTCTGTCATCAGGTCTGCAACATGAAGGCAAGAAAGTTAAATATATGACTTTATCTGCAGATGTTTTTAGATTAGTTTTTTAAAGGTTTTATTTATTTTTAGACAGGGAAAGGGAGGGAGAAAAGCGTCAACGTGTGGTTACCTCTCCTGTGCCCCTGCTGGGGACCTGGCCCACAACCCAGGCATGTGCCCTGACTGGGAATCAAACTGGCAAACCTTAGGTTTGCAGGCCAGCGCTCAATCCACTGAGCCACACCAGCCAGGGGATTATCTGCAGATTTTAATTTTAAAAGATTGAAGGGATCTAGCACTTCGTAATCAATACTGTAATAAAAAATGTTAAATTTTCAGAATTTACCAGCATATTTTAAAAGTATTATTAAGCATCATTACATTACAAAAAATATTACTAAGGAGGATAAAGAGTTGTCCAAGAAATTTCATTTTGGGATACTTTGTATTTAAAAATGAATAACATTGAAAATATAATCCCAATGACACTTTTATTGAAACTTGATAAAGTAATTTTAAAATTCTAATAAATATTTGTCTTCACTTACAAATAAAAATTGTATGTTAATAATATACATGTATTTATTTCTGAGTAATAAATTATTAGAAATTGTAATTCAAAGATTGCTGGAAAATAGAGCACAGAAATAGAACTGAGAATAAGCATTTAATATAAAGTAAATATGTTTTATTCAGTAGGAGAAAGACACTTTTAATAAATGGTACTGAAATAACTGGCTTTATTCCTGAATGTAAATAAAGCAGACATCCTGTATCACACCACATACAATAATTAATTCCAGGTGCACTAAAATGTTAAATCTATATGCGTGCATATGTACCTACATAAACACACATGAAAAATTGTACACTCTTTTCCTTTATTCTCTTGCCCTCTAATATTTTCTATAAGCAAGGTCTTCCTAAGAAGTAGAAAAACCCTGGAAGTAGTTTGGGAAACATTATTTTATAGAAATAAAATATATAAATATAAGAATGTGTATTATAACGACTTAAATTTCAAAGAGGGAACAAACTGAAATGTCACAATTGAGGAATAGTAGAATAGGTAGTGGTAAAAGCATACTGTGAAATATACTGAATTATCAAAATTATCAATTGTCTTGAAGGAAAATTCAAAATGTACATCAAAAAAGTAAATTACAGATAAATATGTATCATTTACTTTTGTAAAAACATATTAAAATTACTTGTTAATGTTTAAGGACAAAAGAATATATGGGGGATATACACAAGGTTTAAACATTACTCAGAGGGCAAGAGAGTGAAAAATGAAGGGGATAGAGATATTTATTTTAAAAAATTTACTGGTACTGTTTCATTGGTTTGGGTGCACATGCATTACCTCTGTAATTTTAGATGAGGAACTTAATAAATGACTTGAAATATACTAATGAAGAAGATAAAATTTCATTTAGAAATATTCATTTTTAAGTAATGCAAACCTTTGGAATGAAAAAGCATCTTTAGTAACTCTTCCATTTGCAGATATTTTTCTCATTTTAATTTTCTCAAGTTGATTATGAAATATGCCTGCAAATAACTCAATACTAAAAAAAAGCTAATAAACAAACAAAATCCTTTAACATGATATCTAAGAATGGGAGCAGGAAATGAAAGGACAGACCTGCAGTAACTTGGGACATGTGATTTTCCTTCCATAGAATGGTATCCATTCAATGTAGGAAGTGGTTTTTTGAGCATGAATATTGAGATACAGGAAAGGTCCATGGTAAAACGCCAACTTAAATCTAAACAAAGCTAACTTGTGGGATATTTTTAATATAAAAATTTCTTAATCCAGTACTTTCAGTAGGTTTCTACACTATAATGGCAGAGTTCAGTAGGTGTAACAGAAATGGTATGGTCCACAAAAGCTAAAATATATACTATTGGTCTAGAACACAATACACAATTTAGTGATACATTTGTTGCTAGTGCAAAATTGTGATGCTCTGGTATTTTTTTTCTTTTGAGAGTATATCTCTACTTTTTTTTAAAGATTTTTATTTATTTTTAGAGAGAGGGAAAAGGAGGGAGAGGGGGAAACATCTGAAGTGTGAGAGATACATCAATTGGTTGCTTCTCACATGCCCCCAATTGGGGACCTGGCCAGCAATCCAGGCATGTGCCCTGACTGGGAATTGAACTGATGATCTCTTTCAGGCAGGTGCTCAGTCCACTCAGCCACACCAGCCAGGACTCTATTTTTTTCCAGTTGTGTGTCTATACATATATAGCTTAACAAAGGGATACAAAACATAAAATACAGTAATGCCCCACATACTGATGTTCGGGTCAACAACCAACTGCACGTACAACTGTTGCATATAGTATAGCCTAGATGTTGGTAGGCAATGCCATTTACGTTTATGTAAATAGACTATGTTTGCGCACCAATAAAATTATCTAACAACACATTTCTCAGAACACATTCCTGCCATTAAGTGGTGCATGATTGTATATCCTATTTAACTGACATAATGCTTAGGACAAAAAATTTTTCAATGTAGAAAAAAATTATGTGTGGAGGTTGGCTACTTTATTTCTGCATCTTTAATCTAAAACTGCTCATATCTAAGAAATTCTGGGTAAATTATTCTGTGTTGCACTCCCTCCTAAATTTCCTTGGTGTCAAGGGATTCTGGACTATTAAAAACTCCTCCTCCAAGCCTTTTGCAGTCACTTTTCTAGTGCCTAGAACAAAAGTAATCCATGGGCTACTTGCTACTTAGTCAATACATTTTTGCTTTCATGGTTTTTAGATCTGAGCTGCCATTTGAAAATCAAGAGCCATCACACTTTTAAAAATGTAGATTTCTGGATTTTCTGGAAGTCAGAAGAGCTGGCAAATGGTGCCCTATTTTCCTCGCAGCATCAATTAGCTGGACCCAAACACTGTGCATCCTTTTTAACTACTCTGAATTTGTTATTCTTTGGATACCTACAGTTTGCTAATTTCTTTAGTATGCTTGCAACAACTTTATGAATGAGAGTGAAAAATAGCTTCCTTCATTTTTGTTCTCCGAGTGCACTTGTAACATCAAGATTGAGGGAGGGAGGGGAGAGGGGGCAAGGGAAAGTGGTGAGGGGAAGGCAGAGACAAATGTATTTGAAAAAATAAATTAAAAAAAATAAATAAGATTGTTAAAAGTTTGTTACGATATATCTACTTCCCTGAAAATTCCTTGAACACTTGGGTTACCAAGTGTTTTGCCTGAAAAAAAAATTGGGTTTGGTGCTTTGTCAAAAGCTACTGTATTCACATATACATTTCCCTGTTGCTGTTTGTCTTTCAAGAGTTCTGATTTTGTCATTTTTATCTTCCTAAAAAAAGTAATTTTGTTTAGGTTTTCCAATATATTAGAAAGGACAGTATTCAGTATAGCATTTTAAATCAGGAACTATGAGATGTCGCTATCTATATTCATGTTTTCATGTTTTTCCATTTTTCAAAACTATTGCTGTTTTCCTTTTCACATTTTTTCTTCAGAAGTGTCATCAATGTTTTATCTATATTGTTGTCTGGTTTTACATTCTGTATTATAAGTAGTTAAAAGGATGCGAATCTGAATAAGGTCCTTCTCACACATTACACACATTACCTTCCCCTACTAACTCCCAAGATTATTTCATGTTCCGTAAGAAATAACTGACAGTAGAAAATTTTCTTAATCCATTAGCCTCAATGGGTTATTCTTCAATTGCATATCTTGTCTGATGTTAAGATCTGCCACAACCGTTGTCTTTCAACAAATAATACTGACAACAATGAATATAACAATGACTAACATTCAGTGAGTATATTTATTATGACATGCACAATTCTAAATACTTTGTCTTATTTTATCTTCACACAAAATTATGAGGTAGGTATAATTCTCCATTTTAGAATTTCTACTAAGACACATGTGTATAAAAACAGAAAAATTCCAAGGAAGGGTAAATACTAAACAGATAACTACTATCCTTCATGAATGAAAATGGGTACAAGGATAGTGGTCAAAGGGTATGTTGTTCTTATTTGTAATTTTTAAATCTTTTATAAGGAAACTATATTCACGAATTATTTCCGCAATTAAAATGAGACATGATAAAAAAAGTCAAAGGACAATGTCCATTATGGTACTGTGTATAATGGCAAAAAGCTCTGGAAGAAACTACAATTTCTATCAATAGGGATATGATAAAATGGTATGATGGCAACACAAGGAAACACCATAAAGCCATTAAAGGATCTCTATTTACTGAGTGCAAAGTTGTTCATGAAAGTTTGTATAGTAAGAACGCCTAAATTTTCTAAGGAGCAAAAAGTAGGTTGTCTTCAAAAATAAAGAGGTCACTTCTCTGTTATTAAAGGTATTTTAAAAATAAAGGTATTTTACAAACAATGATGTAAACAGATGGACTTTACAGTCACATAAATTTAAGATGAATTATATGATTAAGAATATAACAACTATAGACAAATTAGGAGGAAAAAGAACATAAAAATCACAGGATTACAATTCAGCATAAATTCTCTGATTTTTAAGGTTATAAAAATGTCAAAAGTTCTGTAATTTTCAGCATTTGCTAGGCTGAGTTACCTGATGTCAGGAGAAATACAAATTTTATTAAAGAGCTTCCAAAATGTATTTTACTAGTGGGGTGTTTTTCCTACATTTTTCTTGGGCTAAATAAGCTGCTGTCAACAAATAGCCTGTTTCTTTATTTAGAATTACTATTATTAAGATAATTCTGATGCTGAATAGTTGAGCTGTAATTAAAAGCCTTCCTACACATTTCATATATTCTATGGTTTATCACCAGTACAAATTTTGATGTTGAATAACTTGTGAGGCAAAATTAAAGGTCTTCCCACATTCCCTATATTCATAGGGTTTCTCACCAGTATGAATTCTGTGATGACTAATAAGTTGTGAACTCTGAGAATAGGCTTTCCCACATATCTTACATTCGTAGGGTTTCTCACCAGTATGAATTCTCTGGTGTCGAGTAAGGTCTGAACCAGAACGAAAAGCCTTTTCACATTCCTTACATTCATAAGGTTTCTCACCTGTATGAATTCTCTGATGTTTAATAAGTTGTGAGCTCTGACTAAAGGCATTTCCACATTCCTTACATTCATAGGGTTTCTCTCCCGTATGAATTCTTTGATGTTGAGTAAAGTTTGAGCCACTACTAAAGGCTTTCCCACATTCTTTACATTCATAGGGCTTCTCACCAGTGTGAATTCTCTGATGTCTAGTGAAGTTTGAACCACTACTAAAGGCCTTCCCACATTCCTTACATTCATAAGGCTTCTCACCAGTGTGAATTCTCTGATGTCGAGTAAGGTCTGAGCCACAAATAAAGGTTTTTCCACATTCCTTACATTCAAATGGCTTCTTGCCAGTATGAATTTTCTGATGATGACTGAGTCTTGATGGATGTCTAAAGGCCTTTCCACATTCCTTACATTTATAGGGTTTTTCAATGGTATGAATTATCTGATGTGTAGTAAGCTGTGAGTCATGTCTAAAGGTTTTCCTATATTCCCTAGTTGCACAGTATTTCTCTTTATTATGAATGATTTGCTGTAATGTAAAGGATGGATGCTGACTAAAAGTGGGCATGCCTTCACGAGTGTATATTGGTCGACTGAAATGTCCCTCCTGAGAGGCATGTTGTCTCTCAAACTGGTCATTACATTCCCAATCATCTCTGAAACTAGAGCACTGAAGGTCATGTCTTGTAAGTCTTCCCATTATCTCCCACTGGGCTGACTCTATTTCATAAATTTCCTTCTTCAGAAATAATTTCTTGGCTTCACATCTTGATTCCAGGACTGAAAGAAAATATAAAAGCAATCACTCAGATATTTCTTGTTTGGGAGAAATAAAACTTCAATTAAAATGGAAGAAATAACCATATTTAAAAAAATAGACTAGCTGAGTGAGGAGAGATCACATAGATGAAGGCAGAAAGTAAGCTGTTGGTTTCCAAACATTGCTTCAGATAGGAATTATGTAGGGGAACTTGCTAAATATACAGATAATTTAGTCTTATCTCCTTTGTTATAGGATCACTCTAATCATACACACACACACATTCAAGTGAGAGCATGCCACAGCGTGAAGTGTAAAGTAAGGAAAATAGTCACAACTAGTTAGCAGAGTTGACAGAATTAAATTATTAAGTCAAAGGAAAAATTCTAAGGGGCTGGCAAACTATGCCTGCAGCACTGCAACAATTTTTATAAGTAAAGTTTTATTGGAACACAGCCACATATTCATTTATGTATTGTGTATGGTTATTTTGAGCTACAATGATAGATGTGAATAGTTGTAAAAGAGCCCACACTGTGAGCCAAAAATATTTACAATCTAACCCTTTAAGAAAAAGTTTGCTAGTTCCTGGTTAGATATGTGCTGTCCATTTCAGTAGTCACTAGCATATTATCTATTTAAATTGAACATAAGTAAAATAAAATAAAATAAAAATTCAAATTCAGTTGGCACTATTCACTTTTCCAGTGTTCAATAGCCAATTGTGGCTAATGGCTACCACACTGGAAATCACAAATATAGAACATTTCCATCATCACTTGAAGTTCTATTTGACAGCACCTGTCTAGATTCAGTAACTGGAGGACCAGGGTCTCATAACAAATGATAAAGAAATAGAGGGTAGTGATCCAGATGGGTGAACAGCGTAAGCGAAGTCAAAGTTGAATTAATCTAGCATGAGTGATAGCAGGGAGGGTTCTTTTGTGGCTAGATATATGTTTGGGTTTGATGAAAATACTATTTGCCTTGAAATTCTATGATGCTGACCTTAGAAGAAAAGAACTTAACACAGATGCATAAGCACTATAGCGGTGCTGATCAACTGATAGGGAGGGCATTTGTAGGCTCAAAGAGAAGAAATGAAAATATAAAGGAAGGTAGTGATTGCTATTGAAATATCAGAGGCATAACAAAAGTCAGTTATATAGACTTGTGAACTCAAACTCAGCTAATCACGAGCACAGTTTTCTTGGGCAAATTAGTTTTGTCCCGTTGAGCCCCCAATTTTCTGCCTATACAATAGGAATAACTAGCACATTTATTGTGAAGGACTTGAAAAAATACATGAAAAGTACTTTGTATAAAACACTGTTTTGTATTTAAGAGATATTATTATGAAAGAATTTCTCTACAAATATGGGGATGTTAGGCAAGTAAAGTATTTTGAAGAGCATACTATAAACTTGGAGGGAAACCTTAAGCCAAAGAAATGAAAATTATTCTGGTATCATCACCTTTCTCTTCTCCTTATATAATGATTCAGCTAATACTGTCTAATCTTGCTCCTAAATACAGTTTCAAACTCTTCCCTCTGTCCTTACTACCTAATATGAAATCTCTATCTCTTGGTCTACTGGAATAGTCTCCTATCTAGTTTTCCCACTTAACGTTTACAATCTTGAACCCACATCACTAGAATGGCATTGCCTGCCACTGGCTCTGCTTACAATTCTTCAGTGAATTCCCATGGTATTCCTCTTACAATAAAAGCTAAGCTCCTGAACATGATCTCCAAAGCTCTGAATGATCTAGTTCCTGCCTGACTCTTCAACCAAATTTCATACTCTGATCCCTTTTGGTTTCTAAGCTCCATCCACACTGGCCCTATTCTGCAGTTCTTCAAATACTCCCAGCTCTTAGTCCTTCTTAAGGCCTTTCCAGGTACTGTTCTTTATATCTAGAAGATGTTTTCTTTCACTGTTAGCCTTAATCACTATTACCCATTTTCCATATCTCTACTTAAAGGACATACTTTTGGGGGTCTTCTCTGATCCCTTTACCAAATTAATTCCCCCTGTAATTACCTTTTTAGCACTTTATTCTATTCCTTAACAGGATTTTCACAATTTGTAATTATGTATTTTTTTATGTTCATTTTAATATCCTTTTCTCTCAATAGGTCTTAAGCTTTGTGAAGGCAAGAAAAATATCTGATGTATTCATCAATGTGTATTCAATACTGAGCACAGTATCTCCCACATATTGGAAGCCCAACAAATATTTATTGACTTACCAAGCATGTATACTCTTTAATAATATGTCTAAAATATTCTTCTAGAGAAAAGGGACATACTGTTTTCAAACATGGCACACTGAATATATGCATTTGTCACTATTCCCTCTAAGTGATAGTAATGAGACTAAATGAAAGAAGTCTCACTAGGACAAAGAGAATGAGAGAGGAAAGAGTAGCAAAAAGATTTTGGAAGCAAGAGAGTATATGGAATAGTAATAAATGATATATCAACCATTAAAAAAAAACCCTGAAAAACTAAAGTTGCAGATTGGTCCTATTGTTGAATCCCAGATATTTTTAAGAACTGAAATCATTGGTTACCTTGGGAAAGAAGGGTGTATGAGGGGCTGCAAACAGGATGATTAATTGAAAATCTGAATGAAACAGGCAGACCGCAGATTCTCAAACCTACCTCATATAGCAGGCTGATTCCCCAGTCTACTATATCCAGTAAACTCCCAGAATCTGTCAGCCAAAGCTTATTTTATGAATTCCCAGAAAGAGTAGAGGATTTCATTCTGGAGAAAGCCAGCCCCCGAAAAAAGACTTGAGAGCTGTTCTCAGCCACTGAACTGTTCTAGGCAGATCACTCTCAATAAATCTACACCTCCTTAGATACCAACAAGCTCTAATCAGCTTTTTAATGCCAGTGTTTTATATGCTGATAGCTTTGAGTTACTAGCTATTTCAGGAAATTTTTAAACATAAGAGATTAAAATAAACAAAGAGGACAAAAGAACTCCGGAAAGAGAGACATAGGGAAAACATTTTAAAACTCAAAAGAAGAATGCTTCTGAAAACAACATATAACAATCGCACAAGAAAATGTCAGAAAAAGAAATATTCAAAGAAAAATGTTTTTTATAAAAACTCATCCAAGAATTAGAACTTAGTAAAATCCCACAGAAGTACAACATAAAAAGAGAGATGGAAAATAAAAAATAAATTCTAGGGCTAGGGCAAGAAATTTAAGATCTGATTTATCAGTTTTCAATCATTCAAAAATTCAATGAGCCCTTCCTTTGTGCCAGACATGGTATGGGGCACTGGATATGAAAAGTAAAGTTTAAAACATAGAGGACAGAGAACATAATGGGGGACAAATGATCAAGAAAATTTCAATTATATAAAGTTTTCAGAATAAAATGTCTCAGTGTGTTCGCAGCCAAATGAAAGAATATAATCAATATCATGTTATCTCAACATAACATATTAGAACATCATAAATAAAGAATTCTAAAAGCTTCCACTCAAAGGAATTAAACAGGTTACATAAAAGAATTAAAAACCCAAACGTCTTTTGGACTTCTCAAAAACACCAGATGCTAGATTTTAGAAATCCACAGGGCAATGTCATCAATATTTTGATGGCTAGTTTTCAACCTAAAATTACATCTCCAGACAGATTATTAATCAAACATGTGAGTGAAATAAAAACATTTTCAGACACACAAGGATCCACAGATATACTTTCTGCTTACTTCTCTTACATACTTCCCTTGGTTGCTTTTGGAAGATGGACTTAAAAGATAGTCAGGGAATGAACTAAGAAAGAGCTCCAACAGTCAAGGTATACAAAAATACAGAAGAAAGACAAAAGGAATTCAAAGGAGAGAAGTAAAGGGAATCAATGGAATGATGTTAAGGGAATCCATATAATGATAATGAAGGGAAATTCTAAAATGACAACTATGTAACAGTCTCAGCTGGGGCAGAAGAGCAGAGGACTAGAGGAATGTCTCTGTTAAAAAATAAACCAGTTACCTGATGTGTCTGAAGAGTTAGACTAGTAACAGATAAACAGAAAACTAAGGACCTCTCAATGAACAAAAGGATTGACAGCATGGAAATTAACAGAGCTCAGCAACAAAGGCCAATTATCTACTTGCTGAGTGAAGTGAATAATGACATAATTTAAAACTGTGGCCCTGGGCAAGTGGCTCAGTTGGTTGGAACGCTGACCTGTACACCACAAGGTTATGGGTTGAGTCCCAGTCGGGACACACGCCCAAGTTGCAGGTTCAGTTACTAGTCAGGGTACGTACGGGAGGCAACCAACTGAGGTTTCTCTCATATCGAGGTCTCTCTCTTTTTTCCCCCTCCTTCTTCTCTAAATATCAATAAATACATTTTAAAAACTGTCATATATTTGTAAGATGAGGAAAGAGGCTATAAAGTAAGCAATATCTTCAAATTCCACAGTGAAAGGTCAATCATTACTAAAACTAGATATTTTGAAAAATTCTCAGAGGAGAAAGAATAGAAATGGTGACAAAAAAGTGTCATGGGAAAGGAAAATTATATAGAAAATAAATGTAAAATATGACTCTCAGAAGGAGAATACAGAGGTGACACAGAACCAAAAATAATATTTTAGAGGTGCAGTCTTTTAGTAATCAGATGGTTCCCTTCTGTGCTGAGCAGAATTTATGAAGAGAGATTTTAACTAGCTATATCTTGGTAGAATTTCTGAAGTACAAAGGAAAAAATTCTCTTAAAAGTTTGAATAGTTACCAGCCTTGAGTTACCAGATTTAATAGAGAAAACTGGATTTCTGATTTTCGTGAAAGACTGGATTATCTGGCATCACTGGGCTTGCATTCTCACATGATAGTTGTCTGCAGGCCTTAAGTGCTTACCCCTTTGAGACAGGGTGTATTAGCCACAGTCTTCACTGCTGCCTAGTTCCACATAAAGCCTCAGGCCAAAGTCAGTTGCCATGTACATCTGCAGTACTGCTTTCCTTGTTTTCACCTTCATTCC